CCACACTACTGCGTCTATTGCGGGGAGGACACGGCGCAACACACGCTCGCCGAGTGTGTAGCTTGGGAGGAGCAGCGCCGTGTCCTCACAAATAAAGTAGGAGGCGATCTGTCGCTGCCGGCCTTAGTGCGGAAGATGGTCGGTAGCGCAGAGTCGTGGGACGCGGTGGTGTCCTTCTGCGCGGACGTGATGTCGCAGAAGGAAACTGCGGAACGGGAAAGGGAGATCTCGACTCCCTTCCCCGGCCGCAGAAGGCGCACCGGGCGCAGGAGAAGGGCGGAAGGGCGCGTGGGTGTCGGCGCGCGCCCCTGAGGCGATACACGGGGTAGTTGAACACCTCAACACCCCGTGCAGGAGACGAGGCCCGGACAGACCGGGCCAGCACTAGTGTGGGGCTGCGGAAGAATTTGGATTCCCGCGGCCCCACGCGCATGTGCGAGGAGATACCGGGGTGGTTTTAGCCGGTAAGAGTCCGGTACGCCCCTCCGCCTTTCCCCAGGCGGAGGTAGTCCATGAGGATTTTCCCCCATAAAAAAAATTTTTAATTGTATAGAACTTGAATTATTCGTCTATATATTATTGTTAAACTAGATTATATGTTAGATTGTCCTTGCATTACATAAGTTATGTGAAATAAGACTGCCTGGTCTATTTAATTTGTTTGTATTCCAGGTTGATTCTCATCTTTTGTACGTGGTAGAGCCATGCTGCAGCTATATTAATATTAGGTCGTTACATATGAAATTGGCGTTCAGTATGGAGGAATATAAAGTCATTTTTTTTTTGTAAAATATATTAAATTAATCAAAGTACGCACCGTTGTTATCTGTGCACTTTTGCCATCTCATAGGTAGTTCATTGATTCCTTTACTAAAAAAACCATGGGAGCGAGAATCAATAAACTCTTTGAAGGCGGTTTGGACTCCGCATCGGAGTTGAATTTTTTTCCTTGTAAGAAGTTGTCCAACTTCCGGAGAAAATAGTAATCTGTTTGAGCAAGGACCGGGGAGTGCGGTGGATGTCGCAGACATTCCAATTGTAGCTCATCTAACTTAATGGTTGTTAGTTGTGCTGTATATGGTCTTGCGTTGTCGTGAAGCAACAGTGGCCTAGAGCGATTGACCAATCTCGGTTGTTTAGCAGCTATTTCTTCCTTCATGGTTTGCAGTTGCTGACAATAGCTATCTGCCGTAATCGTTTGGCCAGATTTTAGAAAGCTGTAGTGAACGACACCGGCGCTAGTCCACCAAACACTCACAAGTAACTTTTTCTGAGTCAATTTTCGTTTCGGATTTGGCTGGGTCTCCAGGGTTCAGCCATTGCGACGAGCGCTTCCTATTATCGTACAGTATCCACTTTTCATCACAAGTAATGATTCGATTTAAAATCCCTTCATTATTGAGTCGGTTGAGCAAAGTAACACAGCAGTCGTCGCGTGTTTGCAAATTCGATTCACTCAATTCATGAGGTACCCATCGTTTAAGTTCTTTTACTTTCCCGATTTGCTTCAAGTGGATTAATACAGTTTTATCACTTACCCCGAAGCCTGCAGCTATCACTGAAGTGCTTTGTGATGGATCCGCTTCCACAATAGCCTTTAATTCTTCATTTTCCACTTTGGTCTCCGGCCGTCCACGGGGTTGGTTCTGAAGGTCGAAATTTCCAAAACGGAAACGTTGAAACCAAAAGCGTACCGTGCTTTTTTTGCAACACCAGCGCCGTACACGTCATTAATCCTTCGAACTGTTTCTGCAGCACCGGTGCCACGGTAGAACTCGTCCTCGTAAATATATCGATATTTCATGTTTTCCATTGTGCGGTAATAAGCGACGCCAAAGAAAAAAATAATGAGGAAAAAATAAATGAATGAACGTTCAAAACTCAAATGTACCAGCTAAATGAATTTATAAATTTGAATTTGGAATTCTTAACCAAAGAGGAGATATTTCAGATCAAAGTGGTCAGTACGACAAAACGCTAATTTCATATGTAAGGACCTAATAGTATAGTTGTAGCACAAATGCGTCGGTTCGACCAGGGAAGGACCACGTTCTCACAGAATACCAATGTCAAAGAGCAGCTTAATGCTGCTGTTTCGTATGTGTTGTAGAGAACAGGAGACTCATTTTACTGGAAAAGAGGCATTCTGTCTTAGTCCACACGGCTGATAACTCATTTGCATTTTAATTCGCAAACGAATTTAGATGTAGATGTTTATGGGCCACAGCAACCACTTACCATCAGGTGGATTATGTGCTCGATTGTCAACCTAACTCTATAAAAAAAAAATCTTTCACGTAGATTATCTACATATCAGTACAGAGATATTGAGCCTGTACCTAACTTATATTACATCAATCAGTGGTGATGAAGTGACACCAAGAAAGAGGAAAAGGTTAAAACAATACTTATTTAAATTAAAGAGAAGAATAATAGACAAAAAGTTAAAAATGTACATGCTCAAAAGAAAGTATAGGATCTAAAATAATTCAACATATATATTATTCATAGTATATTAGCATTAAGTGATTTTCTTTCCATGCACATAAGAAAATAAATTGTTTTGTAATATATCAAAGGTGGATAGAGAGGAACAGTTTTGTAAAACAAACTTAAGCATGGAGATTGTATCGCAGTTTTGCATTCTTAGCATAATGATGTAATATTTATTTACATTTTTATAAAGGTAAAAGAGCTTATCTTTTACCCATCAAAAGACGAGATTGATGTATGTTTATTTTGTGAAACAATATTAAGAGTAAATATAAACGATTAAAAATCAAATTACACAAATTACATTTTTTTTTTTAAAACGTTACCTCCACACTAGGATTGTCTCATGTATCGCGGTAGCAGTTTACATACATATATTTCACAAGATTCAGACCCGGAACAATTATTTGTAGGCCATAGAAATACGAGTACTTGTTCCGTGCGTAAAAAACACGTGTTGTAGATTCATATATATTTGAATAACTACCTTAAATATAGTTATCAGTTCTCACGAAAACTTGAGAGACAATTACCAACTGAAGTTGTCGCTTTTAAGTGTCAGTGTACGCGCACATTGTAACGACTTCATGGTGTCGTTTTTAGATGTCGGAGTGCGCGCGCATCGTAAAAATTTCACTCTCATCATTTTTCCCAAACGCCCCAAAAGAAGTATAACCTCAAAAAGTGGTATGTCAGAATCGGTCTCTTGTCGATCGATTCTCTTTGCTTACCCCACAAAGGAAAAATTAAAGATATAGTAGTAATGCATAAGTTGTTTTCTTTTATTATTTCTTACGGTTTGAAATAACATTACAAAGTTATAATGCAGCTAGCATTAGGTAATTTTATATGGAATTGTAACGACATTTTTACTAATCCAAGTGCATTATATAAGTTGGTCGACTGTCATACGTTAACTTGTTGCCAACTTAACTGTGATAGTTTTTCTTTAAATTTCATTACATATACTACTATTGTGCATACTATTCACATTCCCAAAACAGCGGTTTAGTTCGTAGGGGGTGGGGACACATGATAAAAAAACTGATAAAAAAACACCACTTTAATGCTAAATAATTCGCAAACGGACCCCGAAAACGACCAAATGTTGTTATACTCAAAATATTTTTGAAAGGCCTATCCAACGATACCCCACATGCTGGAATAGACGGATAAAATCATCAAAAAATCATCCTTCCTTTACCTGTATGGGAGGTACCAAAAATAAAAATGTTTACAAGATATTAGTTCACAGTTTTGTAGGCGAGATTAATATCTATTACTATACCAAACTATAGATTTGTAACATCTAGGTTCTCTGAGTTAAATCGCCGTCGGACGGACGGATGGTCGTACGGACGGACATGGCGAAACTATAATGGTTCCTTATTGTTTAATTACGTAACCCTAAAAAGTACTATGGCATCTAAGGTATAATTTCCTACTTTGATTTCCTGTTTTTAAGTATATTTTATAACTTTCGTCGTTGTGAATTTTTTTGAAATATGGTGTTATCACTTAAATCATTGAAATGTACGATAAGACATCTATTTTTACAACAATATTAATAAATCAACTGGAATTTATATATCATAAAAATGATCTTTAATATGCAATCGTCATTGACTGCCTGCTGGCTTAAGCTAACGTCAAATCTCTCAGAAACTATGCAATGATGTATATATACCATCATTGATTATAATAGAATTATTAGTTTTATAACCTTCTCATCACTCATCTCATCAGCTCGCGATATTTCAGTGCTATTCAGTAATTAATGTTTCCAACAGACAGTATGAAACTTGACCTGCAGTGTACATACGTACACCGCAATTAATACACATTCTCCATTTTCGCTCGTAGCGTGTTGGGAGCTTTCATGTTGTGCAAACTGTCAATATTTAGACTATCAATGTTAAATAATTTTCCGTGCAATATTCACCAGGCGACAGATTTAACAGCAATGTGGATCGTGCTTTTGTTGAGATGATTAAAAAATAATACTAAAACAATTTAACGTGAAATTTGCATATATAGTAAAGCTTCAACTATTTATTTATAACGTAATACTTGGTGAAATAATCGATACCGCCGGTGCCAACTAAATTCATTCAAGTCTTAAGTGAAGAACATCGTTAGGAACCACAAAAATACGTAATATTATTTACTATGTATAAAATATATTCATTGCCTTAAAGTCCGCCAACACAAAAAAATCTCTCTGAAATGGGACAAGGCTTTTACTTTGAAATTTTAAATAGAAACATTCGATTGAGCACAGTAGTTATATGTACTCTAGCGAAATCGAAGAAAACAATTTTTTGATTGTTTACGTTCGACGTTCTTTTGACAATGTAAATGCTAATAGAAAACTAAAAAAATAAATGAATTCTTCGTAAATTAACGTGACAGTCGTGTGACTTGGCGTTGAGATAATGTCATTTCGCATTCATTTTTGTAGTTTAGTAAACAAACTTTCTAAACACAATTTTTGAATGATAACTTACCTGATAGAAGAGGTCGACGTATGAGGCGCGAGACGTATGCGATTCGCCAATAGCGGCAACGCGGGTCGTGAATAGTCAAAGTTGTGGTCCGATGCGTGTTCATAGGACTGCAGCAACTGGAGGAGATACCTAAAAAGAGAGCAAATTATAATAATAAAAAAAGACAAACATTAGTATAAAACCGACTGCCGTGGTGTATCACTGGCCACGGAACCTAGAGTGACAGTATACGTCTATAAAATAAATCCAATCATATTATTTAATATTTATTATTTTATACATCTACGGCTTAATTCATTAAGTTAATAAATATTATATGTTCAGAAAATGTCATAGAACCTAATTCTCTATTGTGCCCAAGGTTAAGTTCAAGTCAAGATCTTTTTAAAGTTAAAGTTACATCCTATATACGTCCCACAGCTGGGCATAGGCCTCTCATTTCTGAGAGGGTTTTAGAGCAATGGAATGTCCGCCGCGCTGCTCCAATGCGTGTTGGCGAACTTCATGTCTTCGAAATATTTTTTTTCTTATTTCTTATGTGCTGAGCACGTGGTAAACCAGCACTTAAAATTGCAATTAACAATTTTGTGTCGTCGGGGATCGAAACAAGGTTGCTCGCGTACTGTGAAATTTACAGCGAGTCTCTGATACCACCGCTCTTTTCAAGAAGAGAATTTCTTAAGTGACAATGGAAACAGGTCAAGTCTTGATCTCAATTTTTTCCTGTGCATGTCATGAAAATTTATTGTCAAGAAATGTCAGAAAGATCTTATACGCGTAGCATCTGATAGATGGCTGAGTTACAAATAAAAGTAAAAGGTTTGTAGAACGATCTAAATCTCAAAGTGGCCAGTCAACGCTTTATTGAATTTTTTTCATTATATATATTTTATATATAAAAATTACATGTCACATTGTTTGTCCGCGACGAACTCATAAAATAATGAACTGATTTCAATGTAATTTTTCACACTGTGCAGTTTGGTCCAACTTGAGAGATAGGATAGTTTTTATCTTGTTTAGTGAACCTTAATATTTTTATTGCGAATTTACGGATTTTTATAGGACAAAGTGTCGTCGGAGAGGGCAGAACAACGTCTGCCTGGTCGGTTAGTATAGTATATTTCTATATATAAAAATCAATTGCTGTCCGTTAGTCTCGCAAGATCTCGAAAATGACACTTCCGATTTTGATGATCACCCGTACTAATAAGCACCCAAATTTTAATTTCTTTCTAATAGCCCTACTTCAGTCCCAAAACGAATTTAGTTTACAAAACTTATCCAAGTCATGGCTACTGTAAATGCTTGCAGCCACCTACTATTTTAGTTGTAGTGCAGGTGACTAATTATTTTCTTTAAAAAAGAACTCACCCCAGAAACTCCGAGCTGTCATGCTGATTGTCCTTGGTAAAGAAGGGCGACTTGACGACGCTAAAAAATTCGTCCGGATTCAGCTTGGTAGAGATAGAGTGCATCATCTTAGAGAAAAGGCCGCCCATCTTCGACCAGTACGGGACTGCTGTCATCTTGAGCACTACGTGTGTGCTGAACCTGGTGATGGAACAATTTTTAAATTCCTAATTTTATATTAAATCATTTATCCTACTTAACGACCTGCAGCAGGACTCAGAAATCTTATACAAAAGGCGCTTATTCTGACACAATCTCGAGTTTAAACTCAAATGCGTTACACAAATGCTAAGACCGCGACGAGGTCTAGTGGTGAGACTACTAATCTGCAACATCGTGAATCCTGAGACGAAACGTGTGTGTTGGCTATGCAATTATCGCCGTGTCTCTGACACTGCATCCTAGTCCACTTCCAGGAATTAATGTTACATCGGACAAGGATAGCGTAGAGCGATTGAGTTTTACGGTGTAGGGTTATAGTACCTTACATGTGGCGCCAGCTGCGCTTGGCATGCGTCTCTTTTTCTCTTTAAATATAGTGTTTACGAGACTACTTATGTTGTTGAATTGTACGTGAACAAGTAGGTACTTATTAGTTCCCGCACTGCAGACAGCAGAAGTTGTTCGCATCACTGACCTGCACTTATACTAGTACGCTGGACTGGCTATACCCTACAAAATGTTTGTGCTGATTTGAAGCTTCGCCATTAAGTGTACCGCGAACTAAATTTGACATTATTTGCAAATGGCGGTTATTTTGCTCAAAACGTCTAAAAGTATTTTAAAGTTTTAAAGGAGAAAAATAGTGCAAGAAACAACAGAACTACACAATAGTTCGATCATTTTCATGTTAATAATAACATAAAAAGTATTTTTAGTTACAATGATAATGTAAAAATTGTTGCCAGAACAGAGGTGTATTAACATTGTGGAGTGTTAATACACCTCCCTTCTGGCAGTAAGGGGATTTACAATTTATATTTAAAAATTATTTGATAATATACTCCATAGAAATCAGTTTATCAAGGAGTCGCTCGATAACTGACGCTGGTGTTTGTGCTGATTAAACATATTTTCTGTACATGGGAGAATTCAGAGAAAATTTTGAAAGAAATAAATATTAACTTTAGCCTTTGAATATATTCACGAAAAAATGTATGTACACAAAAACAAAAATAGTTTTATTAAGAATATTGATGTGAATTTTGTAAATACTAGGAAGAAGCACAAGTTAGTCATACTAGTTCCTCGACTCCAAAGAGTCAGTAGTTCCTGAGGCAATGTATACGCTTTTACAACAAATTCCCAGAAAATATGCAGACCTTATCTATCAAAAGGTTTAAAATGTTTATTAAGCAAAAATTGTTTAGTAAGGGTTATCATACTACTAAAGAGTACGTGATTGATAATAACCCCTAGGAATGAGGTGATCGCTATCATGCTGTTTAGAAATATTTTCATAACAATTGTATAAATATTATATTGTAAATTATGCTTTTATAAAAAGTCCCGCTGGGTTTCTTGCCGGTTCTTCCTAGGACAGATATTTTTTCAAAACCAATGGTAAAAGTAAAAAACGACTTTCAATAAGATTATATTTAATCTATACTGAATAAAATTCTATTCTATTCTATAGGTTGAATAAAACTATTTATAAATAGTTTTATTCAATGTTTAGTGTTCGCGTAAATATAAGAAATCATTATTCTATAGGTTCTTAAAAATCGGTCACTTATCTTATTAAATGTAATTACTAACTGTTATAAGTAAAGATTAGCTGTTATAGTCTGTGGTCATACTATAATTGTCTGTGTCACATTTCATATACTCTGTGCTGTGCTTAACTAATAAAAATGTCTTCCGTCTGATTGTATCGTGTGGTCTCATTAATTATACCTTTATATCTTAATAATCTCCCACATAAATTATTAAACATGGTGTTAGAAGTGAAAATATTAACTAACAAGTAAATTGATCAATAAATTTCTATTAAACAAGAGAAAGTTTATAATTAAAATAAAATTGCTACAAGTCTCAACATGGCCGAGAAGCAAAAATATTAATTACGTTTACAAAGTAGTATACAACCACTACAAATGGGTGATAATATGGCTAACAATTGGAAGAAACGTTTCCAATCTTTCAAGATTTATATAAAAGCAACTGGATTATGTGAGAAGGGAGACAGTCGGAACGTTGCTGTATTCTTACACCTTATTGGTCAAGAAGCTCTCGAAATATTTAACTCATTTGGGCTTGATGAAGAAAAAGTGACATACGCTAACCTTGTAGAAAAATTTGAAGAATACTTCATACCTAAAGTCAATATAACCTTAGAAAGTTAAAAATTCTTTACAAGGCGACAGAAAGAAAACGAGACAATCGAAGACTTTATCACAGATCTTAAAAATTTAAGTAAATCATGTGATTTTGGTAAACTTAATGAGTGGTTAGTCTCTTTGACTTTATTTTTATTTGAAACACGAATGAAAAATACCAGTTTATAAGAGAAAAGCTTTTATTAGAAACAGGCCTAATTTTGGACAAAGCCATATCCATGTCAAAAACTTTATTACAAACGCAGACCCAAGCAGAACTCTTAAATAAACATTCTAATATTATGTATATATCACAAAAGTCAAGATATAAATCGTATCAAAAAATTACAAGACCACTTAACTCCCGACAGGTGTCATTACCACAACAAAGTCAGCAATTAAAGTCAAGATCATCATCAAAATCGAGGAATATATGTGGAAGATGTGGGCAACTGCATAACTACAAGTGTCCTGCAGAAAAAGTGAAATGTAATCGGTGTGGTATTCGAGGTCATTATGAAGCTCTCTGTAGAACAAAACGTGTGAATTGTGTTGAAATAAAGGATAATAATTTGTCAAGTACTGATTCTTTTTTTATTGGACATTTAAAAACATTGAATAGTAATAGTTCTTTTTCAGAATGGTCAAAAAATATAATAATAAACAATCAAACAATTCAATGTATTTTAGATACAGGCAGTGATGCTAATGTTATGCCATTAAGTGTATATAAAACATTAAATTTACATACAGAATTAATGTCTTGTGATGCTAGAGTAACTTCATACACAGGAAATGTTGTAAAAATTATTGGTCAGCAGTACATTAAGTGCCAATACAATAGTAAAAGTTGTCAAATTACAAAAAATATACTGTTTATAATTGGTTCACCTACTGTAATAGGAAGGATAACATGTACTAATCTAGGCCTTGTAAAATGGGTATATAGTATACAACAAATGTCCAAAACAATTAAAAACTCTAATGATGTAACGGAACAGTTAGAAAACATATTAACACATTTTAAAGATGTTTTTGTAGGCCTGGGCTGTCTTCCCGGAGAATGTCATCTTAATGTTAATCCGGATATACAACCTAAAATTGATGCTCCTCAAAAAATACCATTTGCACTGCATGATCGTCTCAAAAAAGAATTAGATCATATGGAATAATTAGATGTCATTACTAAAGTTACTGAACCAACTTTGTGGGTTAGTTCTTTGATACCTGTAGAAAAGAAAAGTGGTCAGTTACGCATTTGTCTTGATCCAAGGAATCTTATTCAAGCTATACATAGATCTCATTATCCAATACCCACAACGGATTGGGTTCGTTCTAAATTACATGGAGCAGCATTCTTCTCTACCTTAGATGCTAGTAGTGGGTTTTGGATGTGTAAATTGGATAGAGAAAGCTCATTCTTGTGCAAATTCAATACACCTTTTGGCAGATATAGGTTTAAACGTCTACCTTATGGAATCAATTATGCGCCTGAAATTTTTCATAGAATTATGACAGAAACATTTGGAAAATTTGATTTATTGGTCTATGGCTCAACAATGGAAGAGCATAATAATAATTTAAATAATGTCATGCAAAAGGCATAAGAATTAAATATTAAATTTAATGAAACAAAGTGTACATTTGGTGTAACACAAATTAAATATTTAGGACATATCTACAGTCAAAATGGAGTGTCACCTGATCCTGAAAAGGTGGAAGCAATCAAATGTATGCCTTCAACAAATTGTGTAAAGGATCTTCAAAGATTCTTAGGGATTTTAAAGTATTTAGGAGGATTTATAAAAGATTTAGCAATGAAAACAGAGCCTCTAAGAGATTTACCTAAAAAATCAAGTTATTGGCAATGGAATGCAAGTCATGAATTAGCCTTTCAGAATTTAAAAGAGTTACTATGTCAAGCTCCAGTCTTAGGTCACTTTAATGTTAACAATTCAGTCATATTGTCAGTTGATGCAAGTCAGTCAGCAGTGGGTGCAGTCTTATTACAAAATAGTCAAACTATATGTTATGCATCAAATACATTAAGTACAAACCAAAAGAGAATGGCTCAAATTGAAAAAGAGTTATATGCTATTGTATTTGGATGTCTTCATTTTCACCAGTACATATATGGGCAAGTTGTGAAAGTTGAAACTGATCATCGTCCTTTAATAACATTATTTAAAAAACCATTGGCTGAAATTCCAACACGTCTACAAAGATTGATGTGAATCTTTAGATTCAAAGTTATGATTTAAGAGTTGAATATAAGGAAGGTTCAAAAATGTATATTGTGGATTCCTTATCACGTGCAGCTATGCCAGAAATAATTGAAGATGAACTCGATGAAGATGTAGTCATTCATGTTAATTTACTAATAAAAAGCTAACCAATTTCACCATACAGGCAGCAGTGGTTAAGCGAAGCTACTAAGAATGATAAGGCAATGCAACCCTTAAAATTTTATTACAAAACTGGATTGCCTAAAAAGAAGTCTGATGTCAACCCATTAGTTTTACCGTACTGGAATTGTCGTCATGAGATACATAATGTCGAAGATTTAATATTTAAATGTATATTATAAGTAAAGATTAGCTGTTATAGTCTGTGGTCATACTATATTTGTCTGTGTCACATTTCATATACTCTGTGCTGTGCTCAACTAATAAAAATGTCTTCCGTCTGATTGTATCGTGTGGTCTCATTAATGATACCTTTATATCTTAACTATGTCCCACATAAATTATTAAACACTAACATGTTTGGCTTTAAACATGTTAGTAATTACCTATTTTTTATAAGCAATAAAATTCAATAGTG